ATTTAGCAGCTGTGATGCATGGTCAGGTGGTAGTGTGGCTGGAGCAGAGGGTCTGTGACTCGGCTGCTTTTAACCACAGACATGTTTCCCCTGAGAGAGAGAGAGCGAGAGAGAGAGGTACAGTCACACAGACCACGGTGAAGACAGGAAGTCACTGAGTGTCTGTAGGTTCTCAGTCATCCAGGTCTTTACATTACATGGAGGACAACTGGACGGAGCAGGTTTTTCTTGCAGACGTTTCACCTCTTCATCCAAGAGGCTTCTTTAGTTCTTACTGACAACTGGTAAATAAAAAAAAAACCTGCTTCGTCCAGTTGTCCTCCATGTAACTGTTTGTGGATGACCATCTGAGCTGACTGAACATGGAGCTGCTGATGTTTAGTCAGCTCAGAGGGAGCAGTGAAGAAAACACATCTGTTACTTACTCGTCCTGACGCAGTATCTTGTCCTCCACAGCCCTCAGCGCCGCGGCCAGCGATGCACTGGTCTCCTCCAACTTCTGATGCACCAGGGGGTCCACGCAGAGGTCCGGTGTTGTCGTGGCAGCCGGCACCGTCACACCTCCACCCACCAGCCCACTGTCCATAGACACGCTGCCAATGGACGATCGAGGGGGCTTGACGGGGTGCGGGGTCGGGCTGGGAGTGGCCGGAGTCTGTGGTGTAGTGGGGGTGGGAGGGGTGTGTGGGCTCTGAGAGGACGGGCTGGTGGGCTTGACATTGGGTGGACTGGGTGAGTTGGAAGGGGGAAAAGAGGGGGGAGAGCTGATCTGCCGGGCCACCGCAGAGTGCTGTTTGACAGGGGCAGAGACCGGGGTTGGGGATGGGGGGCTGGTCATGGAGTGGATGAGTTTGGCTGGTTTGGGTGCAGTAGGTGGGGGTAAAGGTTTGGGTGAGACTGGAGGAGGAATCTTCTTTCCCTCCCCTGCAGAAAGAGAAGAGTCAGAGATGTTGTTTCCAGTCAAATCTAGTCAATTTCTTTGTTACACAATAGTTGTTGTTGTTTAACTTTACTCCTAAATGACAACCAACTGCCACTAGATGGTACTGTTACCACTCAGGCAATACTTACCATCTGTTTTTCTGGAAGGCCAAACATATTAACAGGTAACCGTTAAAGGTTCAAGAAGAGAAACACTGATCCCACACTTGGGAAATTCTTGTGTTAACAGCAGATCTGCTGCAACAACTTTGCAGGTGCCAAGTATGGGGTTCGATTCCCAGAGGAACCACATACTTGGCACCTGGAAGGGACAGACTGTTGCAGCAGATCTGCTGTTAACACAAGAATTTCCCAAGTGTGGGATCAATACAGTTAAAATTATAAATGATTAACCACCAACCTGGGCTTCCCGGTGTTCCAGGGCCTGGCAGAGGGACTCTCTTGTTGGGTGCCGGCTGTGGGGACATCTGTGGTCCTCCCTGTTTCTTTATTTGACCCACGGCAGGTTTGGGGGAGACTGGTGGCTTTGGTTTTCTCTGTGGACCTCCTTCATTGATCACTGGAGCTCCGTGATCCAAACTTTCTCTGTGAGGAGTAGCATTCACCTGTGGCTGAGGCTGAGGCTGAGGTTGTGGTTGTTCTGTCACTCCAGCGTCGGACACCGGGCGGCGTTTCACGGTGGCAGTTCCGTTCTGGTAAGGTACTGGTTGCGTGGTGTTTGGTGGTGCAGTTGCCACTGGCTCTCCGTTAGCCGTGGCTATGTCTGCAAAGCCCTCAGGTTCCTTGTCGCGACTCTTTGGACGTCGTTTAACGGTGGACGACTCCTGCAGCGTGAAGTCAGATCCGTTGGGATGGGGCTTGGATCCATGGGACCGTCGTCTCGGCGTGGCCTCAACGATAGGGGCGTCCTCCTGGGTGTAGCCGCTCTCTCTCTGGGGGGCTTCTGTGTCGCCCTGCAGGCAAACACAAAATACACACTAACGGGAAAATTCATACAGTCATGGCAAGAGGTTGTTTTTGCACAAACATTGACAGCAATAAACAATGAACATAAACAACGCTAACAGGACTGATAAGCTCTAAGGTCACATTAGCATTGAAGCACATAGAAGGAGAGATAGCCAGCTAGTTAGCAACATGGATAGACAGCTACATCGATAGCTAACAACAAGCAACAAACAAGGCCAACTAAAGGTTTAGGGTCTAAACCACCACCTAGTGGTGAAATATAGTACAGAACTCTATTCCTTATAAAATTTAAGTTGTCTTAATGGTACCATCTTATCCAATAGGATGAAGTTTACAGTTTTACAACTGTAATAATAACAAATGTTATATTGAAATTAATCTTTTTTTGCAGCATTTAATTCAAAATAGATATTAAAATTTAATAAAAGAGCTAAAAATCCTGTTCCTGATGTGATGTTCATTAATTTTTAAGAAAGATCTTCTGTTACTGTGTTTGTGTGTATTCCAACCTGTATAAACTATGATTTTAGGATTTAATGAGTGATTGTCACTATGGTAATTGTGTACTTTTGTGTACTTTTTTTTCCTGTGTAAAAATACACAATTACACTTGTGCTGTTTAAACTTGTAATGAGAATTATATATAAAATATACTGTTTAAAATACTCTAAAAACTAAAACTGTCTCTAAAAAGATGAAACTATTTCGAGTAAATAATCAGAGTAAATTCTGTCAGGTTGTAACTGTAGGCCTGACTGACAGATATATAAACAGATAAAACAACATGTAGACACAGCACATATATATTAATAATATTTATAGATATCTACCTGTCCTTCTCCTTCTCCTCTACCCTGGCGGCGGATGGTCAAACTTCCCTCCTCTGCAAACGGCAGGTTCTCTGATGAGCTTCCGCTGCCTCCAGAGCTGGGGTGGGGGGACGAGGGTGGCTGGGGGGAGTGGCAGGAGTTATTCACAACAGGAAGGGAGGTCTCAGGTTGGACGGACGGAGAAGGCAGAGTGGATGCAGTCGGCTGGGTGCGTTTGGCAGCCGCCACCAGCTCGGTGACGGGGCCGCTGATTGTCCGTCGGCGGTTTACCACCTCACCGTCTAAACCGATGGCATCCCGAGTTTTTCCCACCTGTAACCAAACACACATTAACAAATTGCTAGTACGTGCTTGACTCCAAAGTGTTGAAGAGACTTCTGTAATTAACTAAATGTTTTTATCTGATGTTTTATGCTAAAACCCTAAGACACTGATACATGAAAAGTTACTGTTGAATCAAAACTAAAAGGTGTCTCACAATACCTGGAGGAAATTCTTCTGCAGGGCTATACCCTTAGCTCCACCCCCAATAGAAGACATCTCCAACATGGCTGCAATCGTCCTCACATTACCCACACTGCTCGTCTCCACAGCGTCTGATTCCACTGACACACCAAGATCGCTGGCCCGCCGCTGTTGGTGGTAAGGCACGTCCAACATCCCCCCAGTGGTGGTGTGCGTGGGCTGCTGTGTGTTGACCTCTGACAGGTTGGAGTTGGAGCTAGAGATAGCAGAGCTGGAGCGTTTGGGTGGAGGTGGCGGAGGTCCTTTCTTCTTCTGACGTAGAGTGATTGACTGCGGCTGGCCACGGTTGGCGTTCTTCTCCTGGTTGCGGACGGAGTGGCTGCGGCTGACGCGGTGGGTCACTGTGGCATATTTACCTCCGTCACCTCTGACCGCAGCTGAGTTCTGACCGCCGGTGGAATCTGCTTCTCCTGCTCCTCCTCTTCCACCTCCTCGCCCTGCCTGCTCATCACACTCACTGTCTGACAGGGCGTGTCGGTTGAGGCTGTGGGCTCGTTTCTTCTGGAGCACCGAGGCCTCTTCGTCCTCCACAAGCTCAGTCTCCGGTGGGAGGCAAAGCAGAGGAACCTGTGGTTGGTGGTTCTCCTTCACCTGCGGGTGTGGCTGGTGCTGAGGGTTTGTCTGATGCACTGGAGGCTGCTGCTGTGGTTGTGGTTGTGGCTGTGGCTGTGGCTGCGGCAGCTGCTGTTGACCACCTGGAACTCCACGGTGGGTGGGAGACTGTGGGGGGTGTGAGCGGGGTTTGGTCTGCGGGGAAGCTGTACTCTGAACAGAGGAGGTGGAGGATGAAGAAGAGGTCCTGGTCTTTGTAGGAGTGTGAGGAGGCGTGTACGGAGGAGCAGGCTGGGAGTGGGCGTGTCGGTGTTTGCCCTGGGAGGAGACGCTGCCTCTGTGGGTGGAGGAGGAGGAGGAGGAGGACGTGCTTCCCTGGCTGCTCTGCTGCCTCATAGTCCGTGCTTCCTTCTTGGGCGGAACCGTACTTGCTCCTCCACCTCCTGCCATCACCTCCTCAGGGTCTTTGCTGACACTGCGGGTTCGCTGAGCTTTGCTCTCCTGACCCGGTTGGGTCATGGCGCTCTGTGACTCATTGCTCAAATTGTTGTCCTGGAAAGTGTTCATCTTTGGAGACAAGATTTCTGCAGAGGTAAAGATTTAAAAAGAACTTGTCAGAATTTGTACTTTTTGTGCTGTTCATCAGACTATTTCTCGTGAAGGTACCATCTGGAGGCGGGCCATCCACAGATGTGACTTCCTGTTGCTGTGTGATTGGTGGAGGCTTCTTTCGGAGAGAGCTCCACCCATCTGTACTTCGCTGCAATTCAGCCAGTCGCTTCACAGCTAGCATCAACTTCTTCTGGTGGCCTTCACACATCGAAATAAAACAGGTATGAATGTGTTCCTATGTTTAGCATCGATAAGCATCGTAAGCTTTAATTATGGATCGTTTCCTGTAGTTACCCAGTTTGATGATGCCGATCTCCTGCAGGTCCTCCCAGGTGATGTCGGTGATGAAGTCGATGTTCTCATAACCGTTCTGCACCAACACCTGATGGTACTGACTCAGACCAATAGCAGAAAGCCACTCACCCAGACTGGCCTGTAGGACCAATCAGAAACATGAACAACAAGGCTGGTAGGTCCCATTTAAAAGTTGGTTTCAATTAATAATTACTAATATATTTCCCAACATTTTCAATGTAAAAAAATTGGAGGTGGCGGAGGTCCCAACATTTTCAATGTAAAAAAATTGAATTCAATAATGGAATCTCATACGTGAACTTTAAATATTTAACCATTAGCGTCTGAATCTTTAAAGTTCTGTTCTAAAATATAAAATCAATAATCTAAGTTGTGTCTGGTTTTTGTCAGTGACAGAACCCAGACTTATGTTGAAGACACTCAGAGTTTGTCATTGATAGAAACTCCATACAGTACAGAACCAGAATCACTGACAAATACTCACAGGTTTTTGATCAGAAACCCACTCGTTGACACTCAGCTTGTTGATCTCCGATGTCATTTTCTTCCTGTGACCTGGTTTAGTGATTCCAATCGCTGTTAAATCCTGCACACACACAAGGACAAACATCAGGCATAAACAGTGCAGCACAAACAGTCGTGGTACAAAGTTTAGGTTTGTTCTACAGACGCTGCTTCAAACGTCCAACAGGGTAACACTATTACACACACACACACACAAGAGTAAGGGAGGCTTGATATTTATGGTGCGTTTTAAAAGAGACGAGCTTCGATGTTAATGTTTTTTCAAAAATGCATGAGAAGCAAAGAAAGCAAATGAATGTAGTGTAAAAAACTGGGCTGGATCAACACGACTCACAGAACTAAGATACAATTTTAAAACAGTGTAAATGAAATGGTGCAGTTAATCATCCTGACAAATTGGTTTTGTTGTTTAAAGAAGCTGAAACACAGGAGCACGTTCACATTGACACACACACACACAGGCTTGTACACACACACATGCCCACTCACACACACACACCATTGTATGACTCATAAAAGCAAGGCATCAATACAGTCGTGGGCTCAATATTCTAAATTTAAGGCTCTTGTTGGAGTCGGCTCATACAGAATACTGTACTTCAGTACAGACCACACACACACACACACACACACACTCAGAGGATGGAGTTGGTTTAATTATTATATAATTAATTACAATATTATTGACTCAAATCTACTGTAAACCCTCAGATTGTATTAATACAAAATTAACAACTTTTATGAAGCTGTGCTATAAATCATCAGCTTTCATTTTAAATTAATCTTAATTTTTTCCTATTTTCATAGGCCTCAATTGATCAAGAAATATTTAATTAAAACATTTAAAAAAACAAAATGTAAGCAGTTTTATCATCAATTTAAGTTGCATAGAATTATCTCTAATCGGCCACTAGAGGGCAGCAATTCACCAGCACGTTTACTTGAGATTGGGTCACATGGTGAACTTGACTGACATAAGAATAATGTCATCATGAAGTTCCCCTGACGTTTATCTATTGTATCATATATTTGTATTTAACATAGGGTTGTCATTAGTAGTAATAACAACAGAGTGATGTCATGTAAAGAGTGATTTACATTTAAATATATATATACACTAAGTAACCAGATACTAGGAAATAAATCGTAAATGGAATGTCATTGTAGTGTTTTACAACAGTGGTTCTCAAACTGTGGTACACATATCACTTGTGGTGTTTGAGCACCCTCTAGTGGTGTAAGGGGGAAACAGATTCCCATTACAATTAAATGAGGTACTTAGTTATTTATTTGAATAAAGCTTTGAGTAGTGCAGCACAGCACAATGGTGGTACTTGGAGAGGCAAATATTGACAAAGTTTGAGAAGCACTGATAATAGAATACTGTTGCATTGACATTTTGGTTTTAGTGTCAGGACTCAGGGAGTTCAGGTTGACACCTGGGGTGAGAGTAAGAAGGAAGTTGAATTAAAGTTGTTCTGCAGGAGTTACAGAAGTTGATGAACAGTGTTTTTTTGGCTAAAAAGGTTTGATGATAAACAATTATAAAAGTTCAAACAAGGACAGCACAAGTCAGGACTGATTCTCTTGTGGTCCTTGGGGGTTCCTGCGACCTCTGAGGTGGACCAGGGGGTTGGTGCAGGAGGTCAGGGTTCAGTTGCCTTACCTCGGGGGTCATTCGGCTAATGGTAGGCAAGTCATACCCAGCACCCAGGAAGTTTGGAGCGTAGACCTGCAGCTGAATGTCGCTCAGCCATTGGACAACAGCCTCTGAGCTCTACAGGAGAGAAGACAGGGGGGGGGGGGGGGGGGGGGGGGGGGGGGGGGGGGGGGGGGGGGGGGGGGGGGGGGGGGGGGGGGGGGGGGGGGGGGGGGGGGGGGGGGGGGGGGGGGGGGGGGGGGGGGGGGGGGGGGGGGGGGGGGGGGGGGGGGGGGGGGGGGGGGGGGGGGGGGGGGGGGGGGGGGGGGGGGGGGGGGGGGGGGGGGGGGGGGGGGGGGGGGGGGGGGGGGGGGGGGGGGGGGGGGGGGGGGGGGGGGGGGGGGGGGGGGGGGGGGGGGGGGGGGGGGGGGGGGGGGGGGGGGGGGGGGGGGGGGGGGGGGGGGGGGGGGGGGGGGGGGGGGGGGGGGGGGGGGGGGGGGGGGGGGGGGGGGGGGGGGGGGGGGGGGGGGGGGGGGGGGGGGGGGGGGGGGGGGGGGGGGGGGGGGGGGGGGGGGGGGGGGGGGGGGGGGGGGGGGGGGGGGGGGGGGGGGGGGGGGGGGGGGGGGGGGGGGGGGGGGGGGGGGGGGGGGGGGGGGGGGGGGGGGGGGGGGGGGGGGGGGGGGGGGGGGGGGGGGGGGGGGGGGGGGGGGGGGGGGGGGGGGGGGGGGGGGGGGGGGGGGGGGGGGGGGGGGGGGGGGGGGGGGGGGGGGGGGGGGGGGGGGGGGGGGGGGGGGGGGGGGGGGGGGGGGGGGGGGGGGGGGGGGGGGGGGGGGGGGGGGGGGGGGGGGGGGGGGGGGGGGGGGGGGGGGGGGGGGGGGGGGGGGGGGGGGGGGGGGGGGGGGGGGGGGGGGGGGGGGGGGGGGGGGGGGGGGGGGGGGGGGGGGGGGGGGGGGGGGGGGGGGGGGGGGGGGGGGGGGGGGGGGGGGGGGGGGGGGGGGGGGGGGGGGGGGGGGGGGGGGGGGGGGGGGGGGGGGGGGGGGGGGGGGGGGGGGGGGGGGGGGGGGGGGGGGGGGGGGGGGGGGGGGTCTGTCACTGGCTCCGTGTCTGCAGCTTCTTACAGCCACTTCTTCTCAGCAGGGCCAAGCAGGACCAAACAGAGGTCATCATCTAGAACTTATCTGAGTTCATGTTCATTAATGCTTCAAAGATTATTTCAACTTTTAAGATCCACAGTCTGGTGGTGACACTGGGGGGGACACATCAGCCCCCAGTTTGACCTGCTTGGCCCTGTAGTGAAAACCAGGCTTCGTTTAGGAAGGGAGAAGGTCCAGCAGTGCTGAGTCTTCACAGACCAAATAAAAAAAAGTTTTACTGATGTTGAATTTTGTTCTGATAAAGACAGAAATGCTGTTTAACCGTAGCTGAGACGTAGTATCTACTAGCTGAGACTCCAGTTAACAGATGGTCACGAGAACATGATTTGCAGGACAATGCTGACACACACACACACACTCACACATACACACAGGCACAAATGACTACCAGACCACCTGCTGTTTAAATATGCTTGTTGGTTTAGGTTTTAATTACTGTATGATAAGGCTGCACAATTAACTGAATTTTATTCATAGTCACGATTTTGGCTCCGACTATTAAATTAAGATGATTGTGGCGATAATAACATTTAAAAATCAGGATCAGCTGCGTAAGAAATCAAGCACTTTCTCAACCAATATTCAGCCAACCACCACGGGGCGGGCGAAAACTGCCTTATTAAAAGTGGGCGCCCCCTGCAGAGAATAATAGTTATTGACATTATATTAACTATTACAACTATTAACAAATAGTTCAGTCACTAACGTGAGATCTGGATGTAACGTCACAAGCAGAAGGTGACGATACCCAGCAGAAAATGCTATAAAATATGCTTCACCTAAGATAATGACTAACCATGATTAATAACTGTGATGTCAGTATTTATAAAAATAACCTTGATTATCATTTTGGTCATAATCGTGCAGCCCTACTGCCCTGCTCACACACACACACAGAATACTGTAACTGACAGTTTATTGTAGATGTTATGAGCTGATTTCACACATCTTGTGTGGAGCTGGTCTGCCCACGCAGTGTATGCTGCAGGGAACCTGCTCACACACACACACACACACAAACGCACACACACTCATATTTAGAACAGAGCTGCTCTGGACTGAGTTGAAATATTTGAGCAAGAGGAAAATAAATGGTGCAACAGAAGGTGAATGATGATGGACTGCAAATGGACATGAGAGAAGACAGGAGTCTCTCTCTCTCTCTCTCTCTCACACACACACTCACTCACTCACTAGCATCAGGCTGAGGAACCTCCACCTGAACAAACACAAACACACACTCACCGTATCATGGCTGCAGCCAAAAACTCGCAGCACGGATGAGGCCAGTTGCGAGAGAAACCTCTGAGACATCTTGGTGTGTGTGTGTGTGTGTGTGTGTATTAGGTATGTGTGTGTGGAGTGAAATCATGACTAAGAAGCTACATTGTGGTGATGCTGCAGTTCCATCAGTAGCAGTGAGATTGTGTCTGTTTTCTTCTCTCGTCTCTTTTCTTGATTTGAACTGAATCTGTGGGTTGATGTTTTGGAACTGTCCTACCTTCCCCTCGCCGGGAACCTCCCCCTTCTGTCGGTTTGCCGTGACATCATAAGGAGGTGCTTCGTGCAGCGGACAGCCTGATTGGCTGGATGTTCGAGAGGAGCCGGTGGAGCCTGTTGGCAGAGAGATGACAAGGCGAAGTCAAGCTGCTGCTCCCTCACTGCAGAAGAGCTTCCACCAACACAGGACGGACGTCTCTGCTCCTCCGTCACCTGGACGTTCTACACTCTAATCTTCACAACTGAGACCAGAAACTACAATACAGTAACGGTGTGAATCAACAGACTCTGTACAGTTCAGTGCAGTTCCTCCTACATCTTGGCCATCTGTCTCCTAACACCAGCCAATATCTGTGTCTGTGTGATGACATTTTATTTGAATTATTATCGGTGATAAATTCTATCCATCCATCAATCAATCCATCATCAACTGCTTATCTGGGTCACGGGGGCAACAGTCTGAGCAGGGACACCCAGACTTCCCTCTCCCTCGACAATTCCTCCAGCTCTCCTGGGGGGACCCCAAGGCGTTCCCAGGACATGTCGCTCCAGCGTGTCCTAGGTCTTCCCCTAGGTCTCCTCCCAGAGGGACGGCACCCACGCACCC